GGTGGCTATTTTTGTGCTAAAAAAATCCTCGAATATCAAGCATTTCTTACATTTATGGATGGATTTTGTTCAAACTTATAACACACATTAGACATTACAGGTTCCTGATGCACGTCATTCTATTTTTCAGATTGGATTCAAAATGGCTGACTGGCGGACATTTTGTTTTAATGAGTGGGCTTCTAGAGCCATATCTCTTAAATGCTTTGACTGATTATATTCAAATTTTACATATTTGTTATACATCTTGTTATATATATATATATATATACATGTATTCAAAATGGCTGACGATCAGATACAAATGTCAATCATTTAAAAAAATCATATTCCTGACATGGTTATATTCCAGCTATATTACTATAAACAAAACTATCTTAAATTTGATAACTAACGGGGACTGAGCCATGCATGGCTTGTTTTGACTTATTATTGTTAAGATATGAGATCTATTCTATTTCCGCTTTATTTGGAATTTAGAGAAAATAATTTATATATATTTTTTTTACAGATGTACAATTACGTGATCTTTGTCGTCATGGTGGAACATGTGTTAACGATCGTAGTAGTCATCTTTGCAACTGCGCCCCAGGCTATGAAGGCAGCTACTGTCAATTCGATACCAACGAGTGTTTGTCAGCACCTTGCCACAATGGTGCTACATGCAATGAAATGATTGGTTCTTATTATTGTGACTGTTCCATTGGATTCACCGGTACCAATTGCGAAATCAATATTGACGATTGTGCAAGTTCACCTTGTCAGAACGGAGGTGTATGCCATGACCTTATCGACAGTTACAAATGCTCATGCCCATCAGGCACTCAAGGTATTAGCTTAACTCCATAACATGTTCTCTATATTCTTGGTTAGCAGTGATTATAAAATCGGTTAACCTGGTTTAAGGTAGCTATTATTCGCATACTTGTTTTCATCTTCTAATTTTGACTAAATGACTACAAATAGACCCAGGAAAGTATATATTTTTAGAATCGCCAGACTTCAAGCTTTTCAAAAGTGTTTTTCATGCCCGTATTTGTATACTACAATGTGTTACTCAATCAAAGGTGAAAAATTAGTTTTTCTGTAAAAAAAATAATTACGCATTTATGCTGGTGATAAGAAGTATTTTTTGACTCCCATGTGAGAAGCACAAAATGAGTCTTTGCAGTTAGTGTGTCTGTATGTGTGTATGTGTGTATGTGTGTATGTGTGTGTGTATGTGTGTATGTGTGTCCGACTGTTCCACTGCTATCTCAAGAACCATACATCGGTTTTTGATGAAACTTGGTGCATAGATGCTCTGGGCCAATGCGCAGATTTGATTAGGTTTTGGTAAAAATCCATGCTCGTTAATTACCTAATTTGCATGATAATTAGCTAATTTTTAGCTGTTCTATGACTGTTCCACTGATATCTAAAGAACCACTCATTGGATTTTGATGAAACTTGGTGCATAGATGCTCTGAACATATGCGCAGATTTGATTAGGTTTTGGTAAAAATCCATGCTCGTTAATTACCTAATTTGCATGATAATTAGCTAATTTTTAGCTGTTCTATGACTGTTCCACTGATATCTAAAGAACCACTCATTGGATTTTGATGAAACTTGGTACATAGATGCTCTGAACATATGCGCAGATTTGATTAATTTTTGGTAAAAATTCGTGCATATTAATTACCTAATTTGCATGATAATTAGCTATTTTTTAGTGGTTCCATGACTGTTCCACTGATATCTAAACAACCACTCATTGGATTTTGATGAAACTTGGTACATAGATGCTTCTGAACTAATGCTAGGTTTTG